CTCTCAGGGCTCTTCCAATATGACAGCCTACATGGGGTTCTATAACACCGCTTTGCCGGGCGGCCCCCTGGAGCTCACGATCTCTGCACTTGGTATCTTGAGTTCGGGCTTGATGATGGGTCTTAGACGGCGCGGAGGTCTTTCTGCCCTCAATTCCAGCTGCGGAAGTGAGGACCACGTTTTCACCGCCAGCCCGTGGTGGAAGAAGGCTCTGGAAGACGTCTCCAAAAACCGAAAGGTGACCTTCATCGAGCTTCCATTATTGATCCCAGTAATAGTTCTCTTTGCACAGCACAAGTTGAATTTAAGTGAGAAGAAGGAGGTCGCACGTACGAAGTTCTATTCATTTTGTTAATTCACAATTGTTAGAATTGTTTATGTCAAAAACTCTGGGCTCTAATAAAGAACAAATGCGCAAAAACAAACCTCTGCGTTACCGTAAGTTGCCAACACAATTTTTGCTTGTCAAGTTAGAGAATCGACGACTTAATAAAGGTTCACGTAACGACAAGACCACTTGACTCTTTCAAGTAATCATCTGTTTTATGGTAAAATACTTGAGAGGAACCTCATATTGTTCCAGGGAACGAGGTAAGAAAAGTGTATGCATACTGGATTGACCGATAACCTTAAGAGACAATAATGTTCACATATGCTGCTAAGTGTCAGTAGAAGGCAGATTCCAGGCAGAAATACCTGACACGAATGCCCTTAAACAGAAAAATCAAATAAACTCAGTGAACACCTCTTTTTAAACCCTAGAGAAAACATCAATAAGATATTTTTGAGGTGCGCTTTCTGAAAGATGTCCTCCATCTTAGGCTTGGAATCTCACTGGCGTGAATCTGGCTGCCTGCCTTGAGCCTACAAAGTCGATCCTCTCCGAACTATTGACGGCCTTTCCGCATGCAGCGGAAAAGCCATCCGCCAGTGCTAATAACGCCGGACACGACGTGGGTTTCTCTCGCCACAAGTGGAATCTACTAGTACTAGAACAGTCATACGACGCAAGCTACATCTACATGTTCCTTCCCAAGCCCCAACCGAGTGCATCGAGCCAGCGCGGCAGCACAGTCACTTCTCATGGCATCTCCGGTACAGCTAACCAGGAGGGAGCTTCGTCAAATGCATATATATATATATTTGTTTATACTCAACGCTACTTCTCATCACACGCTTCCTCTAGCTTTGGATCTTGGAGTTTTACTAGTGTTCAAGAGCATGCGCCAGACTTTTATAGCAAATCGCTGCGGGTTCTCTTTTAGGTTAACCATTACCTTTGCTGCGTAACAATAATCTTCTGGGTGAGCTAAATATTCGTTTTTTTCTAAATAAAAAGCAACGCATTTTGTCAGAAGTTCTATACGCTCCAGCAGAAAGCAAGACGCAGACACGAAAGATAATTTTGTAAGTGGCTTTTGGGTCAGCCTCTTGTTGGAGGATTTGGAAGTAAGACCTCTCTTTATAACAAGCATGGGCGACTAACAAGTAGAAATGTCCAGAAAATGCGTATTTCCTTCTTGGTTATCGCGTTCTCGTTCGCATTTAATGTGGAAAGCCTTGCATTATATGGAAGTGGGCGAAATCACGGGTATCCCTCAAAGGAACCTTTTTTTCAGTGATCACAACCCGTGGGTAAAGATAAGGAATTAAATTGGGGAAAATAATGTCGGGTTTCTGAAAATTAGCAGTTTTGGGAAAAATAATGTATCGCACTAGTTAAACATTTTGACAATAGTAGGCAAGGTCACTTGGAAAACCTGAATCAATGTGAGAAGAAGACGATTCGATCGCTGGGACAATACTTTTATTCACCTGACGTTTCGAGATCCGTCGTGGATTTGTCATCAGAGACATAGTCAAACAGCAGTAACACAAACAGGCTACTGCTCTTTGACTATGTCTCTGATTACGAAACAGAAACCTGTTTCTGCTACTCATGTCTCTGATGATGAATCCGCGACGGCTGTCGAAACGTCAGGCGAATAAACATATTGTCCCAGCGATCGAGTCTTCTTCTTCTTCTTCTTCTTCTCAGTTTTAAAGCCCCATACTGGCATTTAATTTCCAACAACTTTGACAATTTTAAATGCTATCATTTTATCGAGGGCAGTGTACGCGTAAACATCCTCCCCTATTCGGTTTCCGATGCATAAGTAATCCGTTTTACTGTTCAGGAATTCGGCTAATAAAAAAAATGCAAAAAAGATTGAAGTAGCCCTACGAAACAACTGGTTTTTTGCTATGCGTTATCAATTTTGCTAACTACTCTACGGTTGAATTCACTGACCATTTATGCCACCATTTGTTATCATTGTTAGCATACTTGTTTAACCTCTAAGCCTTCTGTCAAACTTATTCAGTTGACTTAGTCACTTTCACGGCTTAAGTGTGTACCAGCACACGGGGTTAAGAACCCCTCCCCGAACCTATAAATTCAAGTGATGGCAACAGAGTCCCTGAAACTATGAAGAAGGTTATAAATTCGAAGGCCTTCCAAATTTTGTCTTCTCCTGTGAGCAGATTTACCGACAATAAGGTGAGAGTGTAATGAAAGCTTCGTTTTTATTGGCAATCCTAAGCCTGCCATAGCAAAACGTCTAGTCACAAAGAAATTATCTTTGAACCCGACTTCACCTAGCTGCTGAACTACGGTTCACCGATCATATTTGTTGTGAGGACCAATACGTGCAGTTAATTTTGTCTGAAGCTCTGGTCTAGCGGCCTCGGAAGTAGCAGTGCATAGAGAACAGCCAATAAGCGACACGCCTTATCGTCAGGGGCAACGTGCTCCGTTGCCAGTACGACCTGTATTAATATTGTTGGACTCCCCGGTATTTATCCTAAGAACGGTTTACTGAAAAAAAACTACTCCTATATTCTGAGATTTATAGAGCAAGAAAGCTTCAATGTTTGGTGTTAGACTACATATGTGAACGATTGAAGTGGCTCTAGGACGAGATTCAGACGAACGATAGAGGCCTTCTGCGCTATCGTGCAAATTTACCAGATCAGCGAACGTACCCTAAGTGTCTCTTCAATCATTTTTTGTTTCCCTTTCCATGAATAGTTCCGTTCCTTTATTTATTTTAGACCACAGCTTCCTTCAACGCATCAAGACCTCCTTTTATAGTTTGATATGCAATGCTTTTCACTCGACGCGCTTGGAATTTAGGAAGAGTTCTACAGATAATTCTTTCAGAGTAAGTCAATAATCACTCAAATTTAGCTTAACATTTTTGGGTTACGACGTGTGACTTATAAAAACAGGCTCGCTTTGAAATAGATACATTGTTAGTTCATCCAGCAATTAGGGTTGAAATTGCTTATTGGTCCGAGTTTTCGAAATTGTACAAAGGTCTCTGGTAGAAGATGACAGTTACAAAATAAGTAATAACATTAGGACAATTCACGCAATAAGCAGCCAGCTCTACAGTTCCGAAGTCGAGTTCATAGGGTTGGACGTTGGGGGGTGAATTTATTGTGCCGATTGACTTAGTACTCAAAAGAAATTGAGACCACAACGTAGTGCTTGCATTTTCTCCGCTTAATGCAGTTGTCAGATTCAAAATATGACCTGCTTTAAGAGGTGGGCATCACTTAGGCGTAATCAGCTCCTCTGTAACAGAGCCGATTGCGGCTATAGAATGCGACTTACAGTTTTATTCTGGCCTGAATTGTGTATGTGCAGAAGAGTACAAACATGGAATTCGTTATGCTATATCAGATTGATTCCTGATCCTCTTTATAGAGCAACGCAAGATGCCTTCAATGCTGTGTGCAATCCAAATATTTACTTCGTCTTTAGTGCTTTTAATCGCGTCTAAAACATGCCTGATGAATGGCCTAATATGTCATGCATTCGTTTTTTCTGTCTCAGAAGTCCTCAGAAGGCAGGTGACCGTTCGCCAAAAATTAGTCGTGGACATGTAAGTACTCAGTCTAGTTAAAAAACATTTCCACGCAATTGCGCTTGCGCGTCTTCGATGGTTACTGCGAAGGCTGAGGCGTTTGTTGCTGTTGTTCGCCTTTCTCTAACGTTTGTATCAATTTTAACATCGGGCGATTGTCTAATAGAAAAATGCAAAGCACATTATTTCCTGTTCATTATGTTCTTCTGAATGCATTGCTACCCGTGTAAAGAACTTGACCCCTAAACTTACAGTGGATTACATATCTGATGAAAGGTTGGGGATTGTGGAATTTAACACACATTTGAGGTTGTTTATTAAGTTCATTGGGTTGATTTGAAGCGCAAAATTCTGTTTAGTAGAATGGAATTCCGTTCAGATCAGTATACTGGGGAAACTAGAGGCAACAATAGGCAAAATCCAGCGTTTCTTGATATCCGAGGAATTTCCTACGCTTTTAAACGCTGTCGAAAAGAATTTCTTGTGAGTGCATGTTGCACTATAAATGAACACTCATGGAGAGCAGGAACTTTTTAATTATATCTGCTCACCAAAACGGAAAATGTTGTTTTGCGTCCATGAAATTGAGGTTAGTTTAATTATGAGATAGCGCATTATTTTTGGGAAAAAAAGAGCGAAGTTAGTTTAAAAAATTCTATTTTGCAAATCTGCCAAGTTTGTGCTATAAAATTGAGTAATACACTTTTAAGGCTGTTACGCACTATACTCCAATAAAAATTTAAATTGTATATTTGAAGGGTTGCATGCAAGGAATTTATAGGAGGACTTTATTAGTATACAGCAACTAAATCGATTGTGTAGTCAATATACAGTTGAAGACCGTTAACATAACACACATTTGAGTGAGTTGTCGTGGGCCATTGCGAAACAGTTTTCTCAAAAATTGCCGTTGATATTATTGCCACTCTACTCTGCATGTGTTATTGTAGAACTGAGCCCAGAAGTAACCAAATATACTCAAAACAGTTCTGAGTTAAATAGAAAAGTTAGCTTTCATTTATAACAGAATATGTGTCCATAATTTTTAGAGAAATCAATAAATTGGCCAAAATTTCCCATCCTGATCTTGACTTAGTCTTCGAAAAATAAAGCACGCAGACCTCCGACGCCAAAATATACAACTAAAGCTGGTTTTTAAGAGGTAACTTGTTATAGTAATCTTTAAATCAATGTTAGACCTATTCATTCGCGACTTTTGTTGTGGACTTTCATTTTTCTCGGCAATGTGTTTACATGTTTGTGTGGTTCTGAAACCATGACAAACACAGACAGCTGCATAAGAAAAAATGTCAAAAAGTTCATTATTGAGTAAATGCTTATAAGATATATCTTATTTTGAAGGTTTTGGTAAGCACGTAGAATATAATCATTATTTATGGTCAATCGACTGAAGCCAGTGAAAATCTTTAAGTCTTAATTAGCATTTCAAGGAAGATGTGAACCTCTTCGTAATCGTTATCTTAAAATAATTACACAAATATGACGGAAGTTAATTACTCTTAGTGTACAAAAATAGTACGTTTACAATTGCACCTGACAATTTCATTTAAATTTATTAGTCACTGACCGGCATATCC